GCCCTTGGCGCCCGATCCCTTCTCCGCATGACCCCCGCACGTCCCAGCTACCGTCCTAGCCCAGACCGCCTACGGCGTTCCCGCGTACACCCGTGCACCCGTCCATCTTTCGTCCGCGTACCTCCCGCCAACCCCGCATGCGTGGTCTATTCGCCCACTCGTGTGCATCAAGTGCCGATGCACACCCCTTGCCTTTTCGCTCTTTGCTAGACTTACCGGATTCCAATTCTACTTCCGTATCATTCCCCTCCTCTTCAAGACTTTCCTTGTCCCCAAGGATTAGGAATTTCAGCTTCCCATCTCGACCATCTCCGCTATCCTCATCAAGTGACCCGCATGGATCCTCAGTCCTCAACTTGACCCTCTTGCTTGACCTCCCGAACTCCATAGTCCCTTTCCAATGATCGGTTGTGATTGGACCAAGAGTCTCCAACCACTGGCATCCAAGCACCACATCAGCTGCCTTCAATGGCAATGCATAGAGATCCACTCTCATCCTTTGACCTTGAGCTTTCAACTTTACCCCTTTGAACAAAATATCTCCTCGTAGTGTTTCCCCGTTTGCTACCTTTACTCCGAAAGGTTTTACCTTGGTGAATGGAATTTCGATTTCTTTAGACAACTCCTCATCAATGAAGTTTAGCGTAGATCCGCTATCGACCAACACTTCCACCAATTTTCCTCCTACTTCAGCCATGAATGTGATCATCTTCGGACCACGTTTCTTGCTTTTAACCATATGTAATCGGGACTCCTCTCTTGGTTCTTCTTCTTCCTCAAATTCCAACAAAAAGACCTCCTTACCTCTACACCTGTGGCCTGGCGTAAACTTTTCATTGCACGAATAGCAAAGGCCTTTTTCTCGCCGTCGTTGCATCTCTTCGTCGGTAAGCTGTCGTATGTTGCTCACCGTTCGAACAATCTCGCCCATCGGTTTGCTCTCCGTTCGCCCTGCCAGTTCCTCGGTTGCGGCGTTGATGCGCTTGATCTCCGTGCGCGCGTCACTCGGCTTGGCCTTGCGTACCGCCACAAGGTGTTCCTCGTGCAGTCTAGCCGATTCAACGGCTGCTCGCATCGAGCCTGGCCTGTCCAACCTCACTTCGGCTGCCAGTTC